AATTCTCATTCTGCAATTCATGAGGCAGCTGGAAATAAAATGTTAAAATAAAACTATTACAACCAGCTTTTCTGCTCCCCACTTATTTTAGAAATCAATATAAGCACAGAATAGCTTATTTAAATATTCTGAATTTAGTAGCAACTTGTCAGTAAAAACCTGGTGTATTTGAATTTTTTTTATTTTAATAAAGTTTCACGTCTTGATTGCTACTGAAGCTGTGAGATTTAATTCAATATACAAAGCATAATTCCAACTCTCTTGTGTTAAAAATATTCTTTAAATAAATAATAGATCAAAGCAGTGTCACTTCGATGGCATACATGCTCCACAGAAGTGGGAGACAAAGGATAAAATATCTTCAGAGCTGTCCTTCCTTCTGGGTGAAAGGGGGGCAAGTGAACGTTCAGCTATTTTATCTAGGTTTACCACTGATTACTTTTCTTGAGTCTTCCCTCTTATTAGACTCCTATCTTCTAAAGATAGGAGTCTTCTAAAGAACCTTCAAGCTCCTATAAACTCCAAGATTTTTAGAACTACAGAGCAAGAAGAAGAAAAAAAAGAGAGACATTCCATTCTGAAATCTCAGTGCAATCACTTCTTATAGGCATAGTAAAATTAAGATCGTTCATTAGTAAAGGGCACTAGGAATAGTGGAACTCAAGACTAGTAGACAGTTATCATAATGATGAATAAGGGCATGACCCACCTCTGCCTATGTTTTTTTTTTCCACGATTCACACGGAGAAAAAAGCGCCACAGACTCACCTGAAACTCTGGTAAATATAGACTTGTTTTGGTTAACCTTTGAGAATTTCTTCATTAGGCCTATGTGTTTATATACAGATAAAGGCTCTTATCCTAAGTTTTGAGAAGTTAATTTATCAAATCCAAAATAATGGAATGCTTTTCACACTCTGAAATATAAACCAAGAGGGCCAGAGAGGATATACCTCTCACGTCAAGATTGCTTTCAATAGCAGCTGCAAGAGAAGAAAGGTTGCATAGCGTGTCTGCAGTGAATCAAACGTTGCTTTTGGAAAGAGGTGCCAATAGACAAAGACAAAAAAGAGAAGCTACAGTATATAGGAGAACGCAACAAACTAGCAGGTAGATTGAGACTGGAGAGAAATTACTACATTTTAATTCAGTGAGCAACTACAGACAGGTATCAGAGGGCTTGAATGCTGACCAAAATAAGCATGGCTGCAGCATAAAATTGTGATCACTGGCAAATAATGCTCTAAAGGAAAGAGAGGAAACTGAAGTCAGCTAGGACAACAAAATGACAGGAATAATTTATTTACAATGCCAGAGAATGTGTAACACAACACAACAATGAAATGAAACCCGAAGAATCAACAGCAAAAATCAGTATACTTCCTGACTGTAAAAGCTGAGGGCGTACGTTCCCTCACAGGAGGAGGACAAATCCCACCACATCAGAATAGACACTTAACTTGTACATCCTGGACACCCACTTGTCTGTGGATTCCTACTGTGAACTCCGGAAGATGCAGCTGAAAAAAAGCTAGCCTCCTGCCAGCTGGGTTAAATTCTTTATACAGGAGAATCTGCACCTTCTAGTCGTTAAGAACATAGAAATCACTTAAGGCTGTATTTAAGTATCCGAAATAGTGGTTTTCAAAGTAGCCACTTGTGAGCCCACATCCTACTAGATGTTAGTAATACAGAATCCAGACTACTACCTCTGATTCAGACACTCCGAAAACTTTAAAAATATGGTCCTTTCCACTACAGATTCCCTGGTGCTTCCTAAAAAGAATAATAAAAAAAGCATAATTAGAGCTTCCCAGCCCTCATTCCCCATCTTACTGAAGAAGGTTCTAAAGCCCCATCAACTTTTATGAGCTATTAAACAAAGTATAATGGATATAATTTCTCCATACATTAATTACACTATTACCTCTAAACGCTCTATGATTAAAAAAAAAAAATCTCAAGTTTCTGCATGTTTATCAAGTTCACTGGTTTTCTGGACAAACCCACAACATTCAACAGCTGTTTTCAGTTGGCTTATGTGAAATAATAACAGCATGAACTAGCTTGGTCTTCTACCTTGTGTTCATGTAACACAAGGTCAAAACAGATTATATGATTTTATAAACAATTTAGCAGGATTGACCTAACTTTAGTTATCTGGGTGAAAATGGATGAATGGATATTTACCAAATGTCAATAACCTTATAACACTCTAAATGCTCGGTTTTCAGATCTGTTCTTTTGCTATTTGAAGTTCTGATAAGTTTGTTACATCCCATCAAATGCTAAAGAGACATCCAACGCCAGATAGAAAAGTTAAATAAAATAAAATATATGAAAAACAACTATGAAAAGAAATGAAAAGAGATTGAATATTCTCAAGTTATCTTCCTGTCCTCTTTCAGATGTTTTATGTGTTTTCTATATATTCCTATGACCCCACTAAAAGCAGTTACACCAAATGGCAAGTTTGGACAAACAGTAATCGATAAAGCTGTCCAGACACACAGCGACATATCACCAGAACCACTAATCCTTATATAAAGGAAAGTTAACTTGAAACAAGTAACAACATTCATTTTAGACTTTCCAATAACATGTAGGATTACAAAAGCAGAAGAGCAAAACTGAAAATTTAAGATTTGTTTCTATTTTCTTCACTTACAAAAATAAGACTCTCAGTAACTTTGAGAATGAAATCAGTCAGAGTGTGACTTTGCCGTGCTCATTCATAGCAAATAACACACTCAAAGCACGGAGGAGTCTTAAAAGAAGAAATTACCACTCCATAGGAGTGAGGATGGTAGGAACTGGGCCGTGACAATTACTGTAACCATTGCTCTTGTCATTAAAATGATTCCCTTTGGCTGTAACATGCATGTGAAACACAGGCAGCAATCAAATACAGAGAAGACAGCTGATTAATACCTCTTTACTTATACTTTAACCTATTGATTATCTTGATCAGGTCAATATCATTCCTCATTTAGAAAGAGACAGCTTTGCAGATCAGGAAAGAAGTGAACAGGAAGTTTCACAGGAAGGCAGAGACCACTAAAATAGACAAGCAAGCTCATCACACCTCCACAGTCTACTAGAGACAGCATCTCTTCTTTGCCAAAACCCTTTAAAGAAGACATACCACAGAACTTTGTGTTCTGTGGCTCATTTAAATTAAATTCTACTCCACAAATCTCATTCCATTCCATTAATGGTCTGCCAACCCAATTTTCCAGTAGATGATTCCACACAGCCAGACAATTTTGGCCCAGGTAGAGCTATGTGTTCCCAGCATTTCTGAGAATTATAACCATTTAGGTGAATACCCCTCTAGGAACATTTAGATTTGCGTATAGCATTCTCACACCCAGCCATAGTGCCTCTGGAAAGAAAATGCAGGACAGAGTTTCACTGACTTCCCAAGTAAGGTCACAAAAGGGATCCCAAACATAATAGAAATTTAGTCCCGCCCGCCCCCCCACCCCCCCCCAATCTTACAACCATGATTATTTTTCATTTGGCTGAAACATGACTGAAATGTGCTGTAGAACCACTCTAAGCTACAGAAAATACTACTATTGGTGTCTCTTTAAAACTCATCTCTCTCAAATGTGTAAATTTGTTGCCTATTTTTTCATTTTAAACAATTACACAGCTACTTCTCATACTATCATCTCACTTACTCTGATCCCTGGCCCTTCCCATATAACAAAGACATTTTTCAAAATTGCATAGCTAATATAAAATTGACATTGTCACTCTGGCCACTTTGCTTCATCGCGTCTACAACCCACTCTATCTTCTTCTTTTTTAGATAGCATTTAACACTGGAAAGGGACTACGCTCATCTTTAACATGCCTAGTGCAACAAAATCCCAATCTCAGCTGTTCTGTTGGCATTGTAAAACATGCATCATTAAAAAAATCAATTCAACTCTTAGAAAGATATGAAATATCAAAAAAGTATGTGGGAAGAATTATTAACAAAGAATGGCATCACAAACAGATTATCACCACACCAGGGAGCGTAAAAATAATCTACTCGGTTCTAGCTACGTGGTACCAGTGTATAAATACTTCCAGAAACACGTTTTGGGAACGTAGAGACGTTACTTCTTCAAAAAGTTTCAGTCACGCAAAAGATAAATTTGGAAACAGAGTAAGTATTCACACACACAGTCATATGCACACATATCTGGGCAGAACGCCTTTGAGACCTCAGGACTCCTGTAAGTCAAAGCAGATCCCAAGAACAGAGTGAGCAGAGCTGACTATCCAGGATGCTTTGTTTGTTTTTCATATAAGCAGAAAAGTTTAAGTGGGCACTGAGATGCAGCAGAGGATTCCAGATACCCTAGCAGGGATATTTGTCTGATGCACTTTATCAGTTTAACGTGCAACAGATGTTTAAAAACAAGAGAAGCACCTTGCTGTAACACAATGAGAACTTGATCTAATAAGTATTTTTGGCTCCCAAAAAGATCACGTGATCTCAGTTTCTTTCCCCTGCAAAGAATACCTTATTCATATATTCCACATAACACGTGGATGGCAAACTTCAAAACTCACAAAACTTCCATGCATCTTCACCACTAAACAACTACAATGATGACATTTATCACAACGTGCGTGCTTGCATCATTAGCCTGCTGATCCAGAGAGCTCCTTAAGACCTCATTAATTATCGTCTTTCTTGAAAAAACACATACATCCGAATTTTACTTGAAGTGCTTAAATAAAGGAGTTACTCAAAAGAGTAAACTACCATGAACTAACGATTAATATTTTTGATTTGTCATATGGCCGCAGGGGAAGTAAACATGCAGACAAGCACACAAACTCAGGGCTAGCTGGACTACAAGACCAGATACCCAGTGCTTCATCTGAAAATAGAGCACAGCTGGAACTACAAAACCCCTCGGAGCTGCTATTCCTTCTTCTTCACTGCCTCCCCCGCCCCCACCACACACAGAACCCACCCTGCCCTTGAGCCTTACCCGGTCCTTCATCCTCCAGCTCTGAGCCAAAGACTTGGAGCCCTCGATCTTCTCACAGTGCCTCTTCTTCATAAAGGCCAAGGGCAAGTTCCAGTCCGTCAGGTCCGACTCGTCCTCCTCGCCAAGCCCCAGGAGAGGCGACTGCAGCATCTCAGACTCCA